GCTCTGTGTCATATTTCTCCACATCTACCTCTCTGTCGGAGTGTGGTGAGGGTTCCCAAGGGGGCATCAGGGCAGGGTCTGGCAGCCAGGACCCATCCCACTGCCCCCAGCGAGGGAGCAGGCAGGCTGGGGGGCACGCAGGGACAGCCCCAGCCCTGGGCATCGGCCACCTCCCTGGGAAAGGGGGTGGGCTGAGGCCCTCAGGGCCCTGACATCTTCTCAACAACTTGCCGTTCCAGCCATATGAGGCATACAAAAATTGACCAGTGGGGAAATATTCACTAAACAACACCAAAAACAAAAAAAATAAGCATCAGAACTTTCCCAGATACCCTAGAGCATATACCATCTCTTTTCAGGAGTGCTGAGGACAAACAAATCAACGCCATGCCACGGTTGACGCTCTTTCAGGCGGTGCTGGTTGGTCACGATGAGGAGAACATTGCTCATGGAAGTTCAAATGGAGGCTCTGTTTGGATCCGTCCTGGGCACTCTTCACCAAGTTTCCAGGTACGAAGACCAGCTCATTGTGTCCGTTCAACCTGCAGTGAATGCTGAGCCCGGCCACAAAAGGAGCTGAGTTTCTCCCGTGCCACTGAACTCGTCACAAGCAGCGGGCTGCTGGCAGCCGTAGCCCCGTGTAGGGAAGGTCTTTGACTGAGATTTCTTATCCTGTAGTTTTCAAATCCAAACCTGTGACCTGGGGGAGGGGGGGGGAAAACTTGTGTGGTTGTTCTGCAAGGCAGAGCTCAGAAGTAAGCTCTCCTCTGCAGAGCTTAACCATGGCCAGTCCAGTGCTCTTGGCCAAACACCTTTAGGCAATTGGTAGGTGCCACAAGCTGTGGTTTTTTTCTTTTGCGGTTTGTCTGTCTCGCTGACAGCAGAGTGCTCTGAAATGGAAAGCAAACATTCAGCCCCTTTCATGGTACCTGACTGTGTTGAGCAGGGAGCAGGACCTCACACCGGTGGGCATGTTTGTCTCCTGGTGACTGCCGTCCTTCAACACAGGGGTCACAGATCAGGCTGGACATGTGGGAACTAAGAAGAGACAAGGACCAAGTTTTCTCCTTTGGAAACTGTGACACGGCATGAGTGAGCGTGTAGCAGGTGAACTTTTTATGCTCTCCAGCTAGAGTCATACATTTCTGGGCAGAGTTAACTGTGGTAAGGGAAGCACAAAGCCAATGGCACATCCACTGCCAGTTATGCTACCAAAAAAAAAAAAAAAAACATTTTCCTTCATCAAACGTTTGCCCCAAGAAGCGGGAGCAAAATAAACACCACAGGATGAGCTGGGCTGATGGAACAGCATCCAGCCCTACCAGGAATGCCCTAGAGGTACCAGCACCTCTCTCCGAGGGCTTGATGAGCACCTGGAGGGCAGGCGTTTAACACCTGCTGTGCATTTTGTTGTGTGAATCCCCATACTCTGAACTTTTGGGGAGCTGGTCAACAACTTTGAGCAGTCATATGTTGTCAAGAGATGTCGCCACAGGCAGATTTTTCTGTAGCCTGTGGCCGTGCTTTGTAGCTTTCGGAGTAGGCTAAACCAGCTTCCAAGCCTCTGGGACACTGTGTCAGGAGGAAGCAGTTTGCCTGCATCTGCGGGTTCTCACAGCTATCCATCAACCCTGATGGGACAGGCAGCTTTCCCGGCCACGTGCCAAGCGAACCAGCATCAGCCTGTGAGCGGGAGAGCGCTGGGGAAGAGCGTGAGGCACGCCAGAAATCTGTGTCAGAACAAGGGGGAACGGACGGGGATACGGGAAAAATAAAGGCCAAACTTCCCTCAGGCTGAACATCGCCTTTGGCTTTGTCGGGGCTTTAGCTTGGGGTCCTGGCTAGGTCAAAGCCAGGCTCCTGCAGCTCTGCAAGGAGCATTCCCAGCCCAAACTCAGAAGAAGTCCCCTTCAAGATGACTGCCAGCAGGTAGACAGGTGGGATCTCCAGGTCAACCCATCCGCCTCCGTCCAGAGCCTCCTTCAGCTCCCATCCATGGTCCTTCCACCTACAATAGAGCGAGAAGATCGTGCAGGGAACACTGGCAGGGCTAGGTGAGTGGCAGCTTTGGTGGCTTTCCTCAGAGACACAAGCAAGTCTGGGTGGGTTGGTACGCTCTGCCTCCGCTGCGCTGGGATCTAATTGTTGCTCCAAGCCGATTGCCGTTAGGATAAACACGGGAAGGACCAGATCTCCTCCTGTTATTCGTGGCTCTTGCTGAGGGTTGTGTCCCCACAGCTACTTCCACCACTGGGCAGGGACATGCCCTCCGGGTCGTGCCTGTTAGAGGGGTGTGCTGGGGGCGGGGGGGGGGGGGGAGGGAGGGGGAAAAGCGTTTGTCTCCTGAGCTCCGCGGCATCACTGCTGGGGACGCTGCCTGGGGACACTGCGGGGACACCCCCAGGGAGGATGGCTAGGGCTGGTGAGGCCCCTCAGTGCCCTCGGTGCCCTGAGACTCCTGTGGATCTCGCGAATATTGTGAGGTCATTTAGAAATGGCCCATATTAGACCCATGTTGTCTACATATTATCTATAAAGAAATTCAGTTCTGGGGTAAAAACTATTTATAGTTTTAGTGAAGATACTATTTTGGTTTCAGTGGCAAGGGGAACTAAGCTTTCACATCCCTCTAATTACTTCTTTGATGCAAAGGTCACAGCATGCCTAACCCAAGAGACAGAGCTGCAGTGTCTGCGCAATGCCTGTGAGGCTGTTAATGGGAAGTGTTTTGCACTAATAAAAGGGAAGGATTGATGTGCAGTTTGCCTGGAAGTCTCTGCCTTGCTTTTCGGGATAGTTCTAGCAGTTTGGCAACGTGTAATAAGGGGCACTGCCTTCCCGAGAAGTGGTTCTGATGGACTCAGCCACACCTTCGCTCCGTGATTAGCAGTGATTTCCAGTGAATTGGTTAGAATTAGACCTACCTGCTTCGGAGCTGTTTTGGTGTGTGGCATCACAGCCATGAAGACTGCCTTGACAGGCATACTAAGAGCGTTGTGTTCTAACCCTGAGATGACGTGATCTCCCTAGGGAACCATCAACTGTTGGCTTGTTCTCCAAAGCCTCTATCTCGTGTCCTCCTGCGGGTCACAGAACCCTAGAATTGTAGAATGTTGGAAGGGACCTTTAAAGGTCACCTAGCCCACACCCCCCCTGCCATGGGCAGGGACGTCTTCCACTAGATCAGGTTGCTCAAAGGCCCATCCAGCCTGACCTTGAACTCTTCCAACGATGGGGCATCCGCAACTTCTCTGGGCAACCTGTGCCAGAGTCTTATTGTAAAAAAATTTCTGCCTTGTGTCCAATCTCAGTCTACCCTCTTTCAGTTCAAAGTTTCCTTCTTCGTCCCGTCTGCGCCCCATGAAGTGAGGGCAAAACGCTTTGATGGTGAATTAGTGACTGGGACAAAATTCCAGTTATGGGACTATTTAGGGCACGGAGAGGAGGGGGGGATTCTCTCCGATGTTACTAGTTCTCATTATTGCTCTTTGTGATGAATATCTAGGAAACAGGGGAGTGCGTGCCTAACAAACAGCAAACAAACAAATTGACTGAACTTCTGTGAAATTAGAAATGGAGTTAGCAACCCCTGGCTTTGCTTCTGTGAATTCGGAGACATGAAACACAAGGCAAGAACATTTGTTATGCCCACATAAGACATAGCTGGGGTAGGGGCTGTCCTCGCCTCTGAACACAGTTTCTGAATTATTTAGCATACGGCCTTGCTGCTCTGGCAATAGACTCACCCGGAGCTCATCTCGTCTGCTTTTACTTTCTTTTCTTTCATTCTTTCTTAAACAGACTTGCAATTGCTCCCATGTATTATTTATTGGAAATACCATGCTTTTATAACATAGCTGTGGGTGGAACAGACTCTGTAGGCACAGTTTGCATCCTATATTTGGAATAATTGGCAGGTAGAAAGAAAATAGGCTGCAGCTCAATACATAGGGAATGCGAATGTTAAAAAAAAAAAGGATACAGAGTTGCCTCTATTTGCCCATGAATTACTCTATTCCGTGCCACAGAAAACCTGAAAGCAGTCTATGATAAGACTGTACCATAGTTGCATTCTTTATTCTGGTTTTATTTCTTCTTTTTTTTTTTCTTTTTTTTTTTTTTTTAACAGAAACAGCCTATTTCTGTAGCATGTTAGAGTGATGCAATAAAGACTCCATCACATCATATTTCAAATACTCAATTACTAATTGGATGGTAGAATCTCCCCCCTTGCTTCCTGTTCCTATATTCCACTTTACTTAAAAGAAATTTCAGAGCTATGAATGTCTGGTCAGAGGAAACAGGTGTGTACCACAGCCTCCTATCAAGCCTCAGAGAAGACAAGCAGTAGCAAAGGCAGGAAAAGCATGAAAAAAATCAAGAGGCAATTCACTTGACCCACTAGTATGTCAAAAAATACCAACTACATTGGTCTTACAGTACAACGCGATATGGGAGGGAAGGTTTTCCCAAAATGGAGAGCGAGCAGATTAAGGAGCCAGACAACAATTTACCTTTTTTTTTTTTTTTTTTTTAAATTAAAAACTCGGACAAATGGGTAGCCTTTGGGCAGGAGCATGCACCGCAGGGTGTACTAACAGTTCCCTGAAGGATTTGGATCCACTGCACATCGTAGTTCTCCTTTTTTATTCCCACCTAGAGAGCTCCCTGCCCTTTTTCCATTTATAGACGAGTTTCAGAAAAGATCACACGTGAACACATGCTGCATGATTTGTCACGTGCGTGGCAGTGCTGTTAGATTAACTGTGCAACAACTGTTGTAAATAAGGATTAGCTTTTGAATGAACCTAAATCCTGACCGTAGCAACACATCTTACCTTCCCACGAGCTGCACAAACCTCCTGGAGGCTCTTGGTGCCAGCCAGCTCTGTGGGTTGACGGATGAAGAGACATATATTACAGAAATACCTTGCAAAGCGTGGTCTGTAGGACCCCTTGCGATCCTGTGCAGCCTCTCTGGGCTGGCTCCCTGGTTTTGTTTCGTTTCTCATTCACCTTCTTTTCTCTTAAAAGATGGAAAACTGATACCTCTTGCCCCCAGGATAAGAAACCTGCCTCTGGTTGGCCACCACTGACCAGACAGTCCCTTCCACGTGCTGAGCTTCCTCCCCAGTAGCCTCGGCTGGTGGCTTGGAGGCGTCACGCGGAGACCATCGCTGGGGAAACTGCATCTCCCACAGACACGTGGACGTCCCTCGCAGTCCCAGGGAAGTGCAGAGGAATAATGCTTCCTTCTTCGTCCTCAAAGAAAAGTGGCCGGCGAGTAGCTCTGCGTTAATGCTGCAGCGGGAGATTTACAGCTTGCTTTCAGTTCTGCACACCCCTGAGCAGCCTTTTAGGAGCCAAAAACCAACGGATAAAGAAGGTAAATACCAGCTTTGCTGGGCGTCTGCCTGGCTGCCATCAGCTGCTCTTACACAAGCAACGCCGGGAGCTGTTTCAGCAGCGTATTTTTGCCTCTGGCATGTAAAGTCCAAGTGGTGCTGTCTTGTTGAACATTTTTCCCTCCTTTTAAAGGATTTTTTTACCCTCTCAGCCACAGAGGACTGACTTCGCTTCACTTATAAAAGTTAAAATGTAGTGAATAACTTGATGTAAAGACTTTTATAGATTTTCACCCCAGGGGAGGCGTTTTGACTGGTCATATTTCAATGAGACATTAAAAAAAAAAAACAAAACATGCTCACATGCATTTTTTTTTTTAAACTGCTGTCGTTACTATCTGTGCAACAGGTAGTGGGAGCTGATGCTACGGAGATTGGTTTTGCATTTTCTCCCGTAAGACTGGCGGAAAAATTATCAGTTGTGTTGTTGCTCATGTTTAAATCCACACCCTTGAGCTGTGATTCAGCAAATTCCCTGAGTAACTCTGGTCTGAAACCCGGGTTCCTCCTTGCCCTGTCCTGCTGGGGGTGGATTTCCCCTAGAGAAGCCAACGAACAAAAGCTTATTTACTTCTGTATGCAACGAGGAGGAAACTCGCTCCACCATCTCCCCACCTCTTCCTGCTAGATGTTGTCTCTCTTTTGCACTGATCATTTCAGGTCGTGAGTGAAAATGGAAGTTAGCAGCAGCAGGGCTGGGATATAGAAATGGTTGTTTCCAGCGGCTCTCCCTGGCTCTGCTCCATACCTCATAAATAATAGCTCTGACCTCATTTTAGCTACAAAGAGAAGCAAAAGCAAGCTGCCTGCGTCTCTCTTCAGCAAAGCTAAGTTGATCTCTTGGAGAGGCAGAACGGAGCACTCCGTTGTTAACTGATATTACTGCGGAAATTCAATTCGCTTCCTTTTTTTTTTTTTTTTTTTTTTTTTTTTTCGTCTCGGTCGCAATTTTTTTTTTTTTTTTTTTTTTTTTTTCCGCCGCAGTTGTGACAGCATCTTGATGGGGAAGCTGATCTCCAAAGGCCGGCGCGAAAGAGACGCTCGAGTTGTCATGCTGGGGCTCGACTTCGCTGGCAAATCCACCCTTCTGTACAAGCTGAAGAGCGGCCGGGCCGTGGAGACCTGCCCGACGGTGGGCTTCAACGTGGAGTCTCTGCAAACCCCCTGCCGCGTGTCCTTCGACCTCTGGGACGTGGGAGGCCAAGCCGACCTGCGGGCGAGCTGGCCCGACTACCTGGAGGACACCAGCACTCTCGTCTTCGTGCTCGACAGCGCCGACACGGCCCGCCTGCCCCAAGCCGTGGCAGCGCTGGAGGAAGCGCTGAGCCACCCCAGCATGGCTGGCGTCCCCGTCCTCCTCCTGGCCAACAAGCAGGAGGTGCCGGGGGCCCTGGCTCCCGCCGACCTGGGGAAGAGGCTGCAGAGGGGGCAGCTGGCAAAGAGGCGCTGGGCGCTGCGGGGTTGCAGTGCCCTCACCGGGCAGGGCCTGCAAGAAATCCCGGCCATCCTGGGAGAGCTGCTGCGGGGGTCACGAGCGTCATGAGCAGAGGGGGTCTGTCCCGAGAGCAGCCCTTCGAGGGGCCGGCGGGGAGGAGGCGAGCCCTGGGGCAAACCTGAACCTCGAGCAGACCCTTCCCGCTCGTCTCTGCCCGCAGGTTTGCCGGGGAGGATCCCGGATTCCAGGTGCCACCCCCCCACTGCCCCCCACGAGAGCGAGCAGATCTGCGGCTGGAACGCGCCGCGCTGAAAAGCACCCGGCCGCCCGCCACCAAAACCCACCCCCAGGACCTCTGAGCAAATATCCCACCGCGGAGCATTTTTGGCTCCATCTCTTGGGCTCTCATCACCAGCCACAGCTTGCCCCGCCGTCACCAGGCTCCACTCATCCACTGTGTGTGTGTCCAGTGCTTCCTCGGAGATGTTTTTTGACAGAGCAAATTATACCGGAGATGCACAGAAGGGACGGGGGGGGGGGGGTTATTTTTTTTCTGCAGCTCCCAGCCCAGATGCAGCTACCCTGATGGGCTGATCCCCACGGAGCTGAGGGGGGGCTATTTGAACGTGCTCCCATGCCACATCCCTCTCTCAGCTTAAATCACACATCCATCAGCTGGAAAAGCTCCAAGGGAATTGCTGAACTGGAGCAGGACTTCAAATAGCCAACAGCTAATTGGTTTTAATGCGGTATCTACGGGTATAATCCTTGAGCCATGGGTGTGAATCAGGATTGGATGGCATAATGCAGTTCAAGGATGTGTATATATTAATTTCTGCGTTTCTTGTTTTGGGTGTTGCTTCTAATTTGTTATTTTTATCAGATACTGATTTAATGAAAATGGCACCTCATTTTCCGTGGATTACATTTGAAAATAAAGAAATCAGATCTGACTTCTAGATGCTTGGAAACACGTCTGCATGGCCAGTCAACCTCTAAATATCATCGTGGTGGCCTGAACAGCCAAGATGAAGCTGAAAACCCCCCCTCTCTAAAACTGGAGGAGACCACCCGATGGAAAATGGTTGGTAACCATGGGCCCAGGCAGGTTGGTAACCAGAGGGGTCTCCACACTCAGCTGTGTTCAGGGCAGTCGAAATATCCCCGGCAGCTCACGACGGCACCGAGTCCCTTCCTGCAGTGATGGTCTTTGTCTGATCCTGCTGAACCCACCGTTGGAAAAAAAAAAAAAAAAAAAACAACCTACAAAATGTGTGCCTGAATGCTCCCTGTACCCAAAATTTTGTTGTTCAGGGGTAAAATTAAGAAATTTCATAGCAGTCCCTGCCTTATTATGAAATGAATTAAAGGAGTGGGGGAAGGGGAAAGAAAGGACATAAAATTTTCAGGCAGCAGATGTGAGCTGCTTTCAAGGAAGAACTTGTTCAATGTAGAAGCACCAGGGAGAAATACACAGCAAAATCCTCTTCTGTTCATACCAGAGCATTTTACAGTTGTTAAGGAATTAATCATCCAGCTGTTGCTGGTGCTGTTATCAGCCTCATTTCATAGAAGACAGCAGCTGGAAAACAAGGCGTAAAGAGTCTTGAAGAAACAGAATATGACATTTATAGGAAGGTCTCAATAAAAGTAATCCTTCCCTTTGGAAAAAAGTCACATTTTTTAGCTGGGTTAATATGTAAGAACTATTATATGCTATAAAATAGTACGCCGGCGTTGGTCTGGCCTAAGTGATCACGGTTATGAGTATAGTTAAACAGCACTGGGTTGTTTAACGCATTATATGACAAAGCTGGGTGCATGTTAAGGGGACAAAATCACATCTTTAAATCTCTGCAGTTGACATAAGGAGGTTGATTGGCCCTTGGCTTGTTGTAGGTGGTCATCGTTTGCTTCTGACGCGCGAGTCTCCCAGCGCACGTGTGGCGTATTTGGCTGTCAGAGGTGGAGCTCCCGGCTTGTGTGGGACAGCACACGTGCTGCTATCTAGACAGGGGTGAACAAACTCAGGTCGTCTGTGCAACCTGGCAGCCAGGACGTGAAAAAGCCCCGTCTTCCTGGGGGCCCAGCTGGCCGTTTTGAACGGCAGTCCTCGAGGCACACTGCAAAGGGGTCTGTGTCATCACGTCACGCCAAAAAAAAAAAAAAAAAAACAAAACATCTTTCTTGAGTTGGCTGGTGTTTAGGTCTTGCATCGTCTCACGTGGTGCAAAGCTGAGTTTTATACATCAGGGTGGAGGATCAGCAATGGTTTAAACTCAACCCAGGCTGGAGGGTTTAGTCTAACTCGGCGCTTGATGTGTGCATTTGACTCTACAGGACTGTCTGCTGGTGATTTAAAAAGTTGCTGAAGCCTTCCCATTTCCACACGAGTGGGTTTTATGCCCTTAAAGATTAAAAATAGACTCCTCTGACGGTAAATACCATCAGCCTTTGGTAGATGTCACCAATTAAAAATGAAAATAGTGAGGTGGGAGATGGGGAAGAAGGGGTTATTTTTGGCAGTGGGAAGCCTGAATGCCCGAAACTGATGAAGAAACACCCCAGTTATTTTCAGTGTTCTCACTTCCCCTGAAGCAGTAATTTGGCAAAATACCCCGTCTCAGGGGACATCATGTGATTTACCGTTCTTGTTTTCTGGAATAAGGCTTTTCTAGATGCTCTATCACATTACTCAGCTCATTTAGGCCATTGTTAGAGACTGTCAAAACGATGCTTGGCCATGATGTTTGAAACAGCAACACGGAGTTTACTTCTAATTATTTTCTCTTTTTTTTCCTGAGTTGGAAAGTGTGTTAAAACAAGTTTACAGACCCCAGCCAGGAGGGCACCCTCGAACTCACAGTTTCCATCTTCCTAGGTGTGTGACAAGTGTCACAGCCTCTGTGCCGATTTCTAAAATGACACAGCTTCTCTCTTAGTAGCAGGCAAAAGAAAAATCCTCAGGACATTTTCTTGTTTCAGGTTGCTCCCAAATTTGAAGCATCCTTTGGGTTATCGGCCCCAGAGCCCCGCTCTGGTTGCTCAGGATTTCTTTTTTAGCAGCTTTTCTGGATGCTAAGTCCATCCTCTTGCTGTCCCTGATGTTGGCTGTCTCAAAGCCGAAAGGAGATGTTTGGAACAGCAGGGTGTTTCTGGTCTATTTCTTTGTTGTTTTTCTCAGCAACAAGTATGTATTTGGCTCTCTTTAGAAAGGAAAAACACTGTTTGGGAATAGTTTCACTGCCGTTTCCCCCTCGCACCCACCTTTGTTGCAATCTGCATCCCACCTCCAGACTCTGCTAGTAGCTGCCTACAGTTCCACCAGCTCTCTTTAACTGACCCGGTCAGTGTTCAGTTGGTGACGCGGTCGGCTTTTGCGCGAGATCTTGAACCTGGTGGTTATGAGCCAAATGCATTGGCAAAAGTGGTGGGACAGCAGGGTTTGGAAGGGACGTCTGGTCCGATACCCTGCTCGGATCCGGTCGCTCGCGGGCTGGTGCAGCAGTTTGGGGTGTCTCCAAGGATGGGGGTTCAGCAGCCCAGCGCCTTTAGAGGCACTCGGGTGGGTGTTCACCTTCACAGTTAGCTAGCTGGAATCCATAATTGCGTTTTAATCTTCCCAGCCACCGCTGGGCTGAGAACCATACCGGTGAGGGCCTGCCCTTGCTTGGAGCTGTCAGAGCAGCCTCTTGCCCAGGGCCACCAGCTCCTCCAGTCCTGGGACCTTCCATCCCTTCTCTGCTTTGCAGGGAGCACCGCAGCCGGATCTGCCAGCCAGGTCCCGCTGCCTCCTTCAAGGGCACCGAGACACTTCGCTCATCTTTCGCCCTGTGTATGAAAGGACCCAGCTAATTACTCACTGATTGATTAACCTTTCTGTGGGACTGGTTGTTAAAGCAGTTTCAACAAGCCCTTTCGCGGCTAGGAACCCAGCACAGATTTATTTTTTATTTTCTGACAAGCGGTTTTCCATCTGCCCCCAGAGAGAAGCAAAACAGCGAGCGGGGGAAAAAAAAAAAACAAAAACAAAAACAAAAATAAAAAACAAACAACCCCCCCCCAAAAAAAAAAAAAAAAAAATTAAAAAAAAAAAAAAAAAAAAAAACCCACAACATTAAAAACTGGTACAGGAAGGAAAAGTCACCTTTTCCTCTTCTCTTCACCAGTACAGGAAGGACAATTCACCTTTTCCCTGGTTCCTTCACAGCTCCCATCTTCCAGCCAATCCATGGCACAAAAGGTTTTCTGCTGGCGTGTTAGCTGATTTCTGCTCTTGCCACTGTTGTTTTTGTTTTCGGATGGACCTACGTGGGCATTCGCCCTGCAGTTACTGATGGAGCTTCTCTGATGGGGTTCCCCACGATCTTGCTGAAGGGCCTGGGACTGGAGGGGAACCAGGAGGTCCCAGGGCTGCAGGGCAAGTGGTGGCCAGTGGACTATTTAAACAGGGAACTGTCACCAGCTGTAACGCTGGGGGAAAGTGTGTCAGGGCAGCAGCCAGAGGCCTGGGGTGGGGGGAAAAAGTCCCTCAGAATTTTTAAAAAAAACTAAGGAGAGCTTTCTTTTCAAATACAACGTGAAAAAAACCCCAAAGATTGAAAAAACCACATTTTATTATGAAGCTGTATAACGCAGTGGCATGTCTTAATTATCACTTTAATGCACCTAACGGCTACAAATTAATTTCCTCCTGAAACACCACCTATAAAGATTCACCCATGTAACTCACCAAGAAAAAACAAGGAGTAAAACCGCGCGTGACGCCGCCTCTTAAAAACAAAATTAATAAGCTTGCCAAGTGGTATTAAAAACCAGTCGTGCAATTATGACTGAGACAAATGACAAACTACAGATCAAGACATGACAGCCTTCGCAGGTTTCTGAAGCGAGAGGACAAGCTCTCACGGGCCCATGTGAGGTTTGATGAGCGAGCTGAAGGACTTTGGAAAAACCAAACTGGAGGTTTCCCCCGGGGAATCAAAACACTGGCTGAGAGCAGAGCTGGGGCCCTCATTTCCCAGGGGGGTATGACCAGGTGAGGGTCTGTTCTGCTCATCAAGACACACACTTTGCACCTCATTATTTAAGTGGCCTTCACCTAAACTTTCCGATATTTTATTTTTTTTTTGTGATGCGTTTGCTTGAGTCGCAGGCCTCGGCTTGCTGTCTGGATATCATTAAAAAAGCCGGGTGAAGGCAGGCTTTTGGGTTAGGACCACAGCAACGCCTACATGGCTGGGAGCTTTCCAGCCCCCCACCTTGTACTTCACACAATGCAATTTGTAGAAAATTCCTACCAAAAAAAAAAAAAAAAAAAAAAATATATATATATAAATTAGCTGACTGCTGTGAAAAGTGATGCCCATTTGGACCCGGCAAGTGTGTCCCCCTCTGCCCACACCCCTGCCTGCCTCTCCGTGGTTGGATCAAAAGTATAAACCTCTGCTCCGACCCAATCCAACACCTCTCACCTCCAAAGCTCTGATGCTTTAAAACAGTCTGGCACCATCAACATCTCGTCTCCTAATTGCTGCGAGAAACAATCTCCCTGGAGCCCCTCAGAGCCGATGAACTGTTCTTAAATTCTCCCCCATAGGCCTCATTTTTTTTTTTTTTTTTTTTTTTTGGGCTGTGCTGGCTGACCACATGTGGATGTGGCAACAAGGATGTTTGTTTTTTTGTTTTTTTTTTTTTCAACAGGCCACAACTACTTGCACAAACAAACACCGCTTGGCGATGGGCAGCTCTGCGGTAAGGGCTCCGCTTTGCCTTGGGCATAGGAGCAGTGTTTGCTTTTTGACCAAACCGTGGTGGAGTTATGAAATCACTGGTTTCTGCAGCGAGAGGACAAACTCACGCCGGCCCATGTGAGGTTTGATAATGGAGCTAAAGGGCTTTGGAAACACCAAACTGGAGGTTTCCTCAGGAATCAAAATCCCACCTGAGAGCAAAACCCCGGGGCCCTCAT